AAAGCACACGTAGTTACCAATAAAAGTTGCAAAGAGTACGACTTCAAAACGCTCGTCCTATATCTTTATAACAAAGTTGCACGTTATATGGTGCAAATTTGCAAGTGCCGGCAGTGAACCATAAAGATAGGAATTATGCTGAACTGTTTATGACAAGAGAGGACAGGAATTATGCAATAGCAATTCTGCCCTAAACAAAAAAAAAAACAGCAACGAAAATAAAGAAGTTTAACCCTCGCCGGACCTATTGGTTTTCTACATACGCGCCGGCCGAGGGGGGGGGGGGGCGGGTACGACCCCCCCCCCTCGCCGTTTCGCCCCTGGTGGAGCTAGCGCGTCGCGGAAAAAACGAGCGTGTGCGCCGTTACGAGACGCAGAGATTGGTACCCGATTTTAAGGTCCTAGGTCAACCGGTGACCTCTGAGGTCAGGTCAAGTGCCCCAGGGTACGGTTCAGTTTTTGGTGAATAACTTCGCCAAAAACGGCCGCAGAGCCGCGATTTTGGCAGCATCGTGTTCGCCTTGATCAGGCGCGTCGAATGATATACTTTTTGTCCGGGTCAGGTCAACTTGGGGTGTTGACCTCAGGTCAAGGTCAGGTCAGCACCCCCAGGTCACGAAGTTGGTCGAAAGAGGTCATGTCGCATATCATTCGATTCGGCAGGTCTTCCTGAGTCCATTGGTGGCTTTCCCGACTCGCTAGCTCAATTTGATCGGGATTTATTGACGAAAAACTAATATGACCTTGATGACGTCATAAATGACGTCACGGAAGGTCAACATTGCAAAAGTGACGCATCTAACCTTGCAAGGAGTGCATCAAATCACGATTCTGTGTGCTTGAGATAGTTGGAGATCGTTCCCGGCGCCAGAATAGCAGTTTGAATTTTTCCCCATTGACTTATAATGGTGAGGTCACGAAAATGACCTGACCTCATATGACCTTTAGGAAAAATCCGAGATATACAAGTTGTGAGACACATAATGGATACGAGATCCTGCAAGTTTCATTTCCCTGTGACATCTCCTCTGGCAGTGAGGGCGTTGCGAAGTTGCGACATCTGAAGACCGTGCAGAGGTTCACTTATGACGTCATAGGTCAGTGACCTGACCTGACCCAAAAATGCGGTTGGTGTCAAAAGATGCGGCTTGGATCAAAGGTCAGGTATGCCAAGTTTCAGCTCTCTATCGCCAGCGTGTTCGGAGCTATCGCGAAAAAACCCTATGGGGGGGGGGCGGCACCCGCCCCCCCCCCCCTCGGCCGGCGAGGGTTAAGTGTTTTGCATGATAACTACTTCCTACACAGCACATGTCTATTGTCCATGCACTTCTGACTCAAGGGGTGGCTCAGCCTCAGAGTACCAATTGACCTGATGACTTGGGTAGGGAAACGATTTTTTCATGCTCATTTAAGCCATCTTGCAAGGAAAAATAATACTTGCATCGGCCGACGTCACAAAACAATTAGTGCTTAATAAGGAAAACAAGAAAGAAAGCTGTAAAACTGAAATAAACGTCCAATATGATGTGTCGCATCTCTGGACTGAGGTAGATAATGGCATGCTACCGCACAACAGAACAGTATGATAACGGGTAAACATGGCAGAATGGCACCGGTACCAACGGCCGTGGCCTTATTAGGTATTGACATAAAGGGTAATGATTGACGTATACCTAATTACGTGCAAATAAATACTTCCATGACTGATGAGTGAACTTGTGCAGCTTCTTATTTACCTGGGTATACGTTCCGACAAGAATGTTATCAGAACAAGTCGACATTTGCCCATGGAATTAAATGTACACGGCACAGCGCACAGGTAATTGGGACCAAAGCAGCCCATTTATGATAGATATTTGGCCATAATTATAAACATTTCATCCATGTGATGTTTTGTTCACCCATGTGAAAAATAAAATGTGATGTTTACTTTTTATTTTTCAATCACCGAAGTATACATATTCCAGCCTGGCAAACAAACATATGCTTGGGTTGACGTGTCACAATAGAGCACACTTATTTACATCACAATCACCTTTTATATACCTACAAACGGCTAAGTGTATCAACTGGTTGAAATAGCGATCGCCCTCAATCTTTGCGACATTGTCCAGTTTATAGGCACCACAGCTATTCACCGTCTGATAAGCATACAAGATAAAAAACGCACAGTCACTTCCAGAGTTTGACACCGTTTGGTAAGTTTGTAGGACAGCCCTTCTGATGTCTGTCATACCTTATCTTACCTTAGGCAATGCTACTTAGGCACCTTTCAGGCTTTCTACCATAATATGAAGGTGCCAGCATGGAACAGCCATGGATTTAGAGCGGAATCAGGAACGGCAAATGCACGCATTTAAGTCAATAACTACGGTGTCGAAACGGCTCAAGTGTAAACGGAAAAATGTATAGAAATAGTGTGTCCTAAATCGCCCAACTGTGTGACACGCAACTACAGATGCCACATATCACGTCCATGGGAACAAGTTTTATATCAAGTCATCGACCTATTTCACGAGAGTTTGCGTAAGACATTTTCTTTGGATCCCAAATGCGGTAAAAACAGTGCAATTCTGAGACTTGTGTTATCGCTACAAAGAGTCAGAGTGATACCTCAGAATGCAGAACTAATAATGCATGGGAGCCTCAGGTAAAATGCACAACTGTGGTATGCTCTTAATGATATAGGACACCCTGGTGTGCGTCTGTTCTCACAGGTTCACTCAGTGAGAATACACCCTGATTTGCTCCTGGCTTGCTACTGACAAAGCAGGTACTTCCAAAAACGCATGGTCATAATTTAGTCATGCAATTGACAATAGCAAAACCATCAATCTCCCCATGGAAAAAAAAATCGGACCACAGAACGGTGACAAAATTTACCGTGTCGATTGAACGAGGAACATTGCATTTCAAAGGCTATTCACAATCGTAACATGTGCACAGTGCATGAAAAAGTAGCGTCCAGGCACGATGATTCGACGATCTTGTGCAAATACAAATGTCCCTGCTCATGGATACAATGCTAGCAATTATTGGAATAATATGCCCGGTCCATGATTCACACATTCAGACAGAACGCCTTTCGTGACCAGCCGACCACAGCAACACTTCCAGGTAGTAAGGAGCACGGAAAAGTTCCCGGCCTTTCAGGCATCGACGCCTCCATCAGTTGGTAAATCACTTCCGAACAACCCATCCTCGGCACGCACAATCGTTATGTCGTGTCCGAAGAAACGCTTGGTCCAGCCAAGAGCGCTTCATTTCCACTGTGGCTTCAGAGTTCAGTCGCGCCCAACAACTCTGTTCCAGTATACCCTATTCCCTGAGTTTCTGTTCATCTCTCAGCTCCTCCGGAGCACCCCCACCACTGCAGTGGTGACCGCCGCCAGAGCTGCTGTGACACCGGGCACGACAGCCGCCGCCGCGCCTCTGGCAGAGCCGTAGTAGTTGAGCCTGCCGAACTCATCCACGGCTTCCAGCACGGCCGGCTGCTGCATGCTGTCTACACAGAGGCCGCGGAACACCACCTCGCGCAGCGCGTCCGTGGCAACGTCCCGCATCACGGGCGAGCAATGCGCCAGCGCCGGAGGCAGGCACTGCGCCAGCCGCACCAGCGCCGGGCAGCTCTCGGTTACATTCTCGACAGCGCTGAGAGAGTCGGCCAGCAGCGCCGACTGCTGCGGCCCGACCAGCTGGCGCACCTGCTGCTCCTCCATCAGCTGCTGGAAGTGCTGCATGCAGTCGGCCATGGCGCCGCTGTAGCGCTGGAACGGCTCGGCGGCGCACGTCTGCAGCTGCCGCAGGCCGCGGCCGAACAGCTCGCCAGAGTCGCGGCAGAGGTGACGCGCCGCGCGCGCCGCCGCCGCGATCGTGCGCGCCTCGTTGGCGATGATGTTGTCGTGCGTGCAGGCGAGTTTGCCGCTGTTCTGCAGCTCCTCGGCGCAGCTGACCACGCCGTCCAGGTGGACGAGCTGGCAGATCAGCGTGGCCGGGTTACCGCTCTGCAGAGCCTGGAGCTGACCAGTACCCAGAGAGGCGATCCTCTCCAGGTCTAGCTGCTCCTTCACACACCGGATCGTGTTCCGCATCGTCAGTAGCACACGCTTCGAGCAATCGGGACCGTACTTTTTGTACATCACCGCCTCGAACGTGCTTCCCGCCCGGTCGAAGCTGATGCCGAGCTTGTCGAGTGTTTGTACGACGATATACTCCTGCATGGGCACCTTGCCCGGCTTGGCGTGTCCTCCTTCCACCAGCTGGTAGTGGACGTTGCTCCAGTCGGTCTGAGGCAGCGGATCGGCCGCCGCTGCCGCCAGAGTCACCGCAATCATAGCGTACCACAGCATCGCTACCACGACAAACACACCTTTGCACACTCCTCAGGTACTCGACCACGCTGCGCGGCGTCTCAACTCCCACCGATCTATCCTCCTCTCACCCTGCCAGTGCCCAGCCCACTGCGGCCGCCTCCTCCCGACCGCTGAGCTCCAGCGTTCCAGCGCCACCAGATGTCGCGCAGGCTCTGCCGCTACTGCGCATGCGCGATGGCAGCCCACCGAGCCGCAACTGTCCCAGATGCACCGAAATCGTCGGCTGGCGGGCGCCTCTGAGCACAGCCGGGCGTCACATGCCACACAAAAGTGAAATCTCACTGACGGCCTGACGCGAGCGTAGGACCTGCTTCTTGTGCCGTGGTCAGGACCGCAGCACAGTACTGGGTCACAAATCCGAGCAGCTTTGAGTTACGACATGTCACGCAGCGCAGGCCGCACAGCGACCGTTTGTGGTTTGGGCTTCGAATTCCATCTCAGAATCTGTCACTGTGGGGGGGGGGGGCAGCGCGACTGTATTTCCTCTGGAAACATGTTGTGAGGTGAGGCCATGACCTTACCCGAGATCACATCATGATTCATGTGTCAAACCCATCATTGAGAAGAAAAATACTCAATACGCAAATGCCTGATAATTATACCTCGGATAACAAATTTTTGTCAATCTTTGTCAAGTGTCAATCTGTTTTCTTTATTGCAGCATATCCTAGGAAACAAGTCTGAAATCCATCAAAAGAGAGACACAATAAAACGTATCTTATAGAAACAAAGAATTAAACTGCATTGTTTCGATAACACATGGCTGTGATTCGTGCGCACTCGTCAAGCATACCTAAACAATTTATCGGACTGGTATCACACTAGACCGAACTTTGCAGTCAGGAGAACCGATCAAAGAAATATTTCGCTCAATAACTAGAAGTGAAATAAGACAGAGACAACCTCTAAGGGTGCGCGCCATTTATAGCAACCCTCTATAGTTCACTCTACCCTCCGGTTTGAAGGCAATTGGTCCATCCGGGATCTTGTTAAATATGTCAAAGTAGTCTTCAGCTAGATCGCTTTCGTTATCTTCGTCGATGTATTTACTGCAAAACCTCAAACACTCTTTCTTGCTGTCAAACCTGTTGAAGTTACCGCCACAGCCACCGTAAATAAATTTTACACACTTCTGATCCTTGTAGCTGAAGTACCAGTTGCGGGCAGAGGCGTCACAGGTGTAATTATGCCTGGGGTTTCCCGGCTGCAGGCAGGCGGGGCACTCGACAAAACCGGGCTCCTGACAGTTCTCTGGATGGGGACTATCGGTCACCTCTTCAGCAGATGTCGTTAAGTTATCCTCAGTTGAAGTGAACTCGTCTAGGTGAAGTGCACCTTCGGCATCCTCATCTTCAGTGTTTTCCGCTTCACTGTCTTCATGTTCTACATTCTCGGTACCGCTGTCCTCGGCTCCTGTGCCAGGCTCCGTGCTATCATTGGCGCTTATGTAGTCGTTCTCATCCTCACCCTCGGCCTTGGTGCTAACATCAGAGCTGGCTGTGGTACTGAACTCGACGTGACCATCCTCACCTCCAGTCTCAGTGTCGTCTTCAACACTCAGCGTAATGTTCTCAAACTCGTTTTCAGTCTCAAGGTCACGCCCGATATCCTCTATGGTAACCTCGCCCTCTGTACTGGCTTCGTCGCTAGGCTTGGTGCTAGCCTCGGTGCTGATCTCTAAACTGATCTCAGCGCTCTCAGCCTCCGTGCTACTGCTGACTTCGGTGCCAGCTTCTGTGCTGAGCTCAGTGACAGCCTCAGCACTCTCAGCCTCACTCTCGGCCTCTGTGCTCCTGCTGACCTCGGTGTTGGCTCCAATACTGAGCTCGGCGATAGTATCAGCGCTCTCAGCTTCATTCTCGGCCTCTGCGCTCACATGGCTGCTAGTTTCTGTGATGACATGTGTGCTAGTTTCTATGCCAGGCTGGCTGCTAGTCTCTGTGCTTATCTTCAAACTATCCTTGCCGCTAGCTTCGGAAATCTCATCTACATACTCAGCCTCTGTGCTGACCTCAAAACTAGCATCTGTGCTAGCCTCGGTGGTCTCAGCCTCACTCACCGCTTCTGTGGTGACCTGGATGCTGGATTCTGTGCCGGTCGCGGCTCCCTCATCCTTACTCTCAGTTTCGATTCTGGCTTCAGCCTCAGCACTCTCATCCTCTGCCTCAGTACTCTCATCCTCTGCCTCAGTCTCTGTACTGTGCTCGAAGGTAGCACTGGTGCTGGTTTCAGCAAACTCAACCTCATTTCTAGCCGCTAAGTTGGCCTCTTCGCTAGCATTGTTGCTAGTTTCCGTGTCGGTCTTGAAGCTAGTCTCGTCGTTCTCAGCTTGACTTTTGGTTGTCTCAGGGCTGCCTTCGTCGCTGGGTTTGGTGCCTGCTTCTGCACTATCATCAAAGCTATCACCAGTGTTAGTGTCAGAGCCCTCAGCCTGACTCTTAGCCTCCATGCTGATGTGGATGCTAGAATCGGTGCTGGCTTCGGTGCTAACCCCGTCGTTGATAGCCTCACCCTCGGCTTCTGTGCTGATCTCAGGGCTAGGTTCAATGCTGGCCTCGGTACTCTCCGTCTCACTGACAGCTTTGATGTCCTCCGGGCCAGTGATTGTCTCGTTGTGGATGACAGTACTGTTTGAAGACCGGGAGAGGTCCTCGAGAGTGACAGTGATCTGGCCATGTCCAACTAGACTTCTTCCCTGAACAAGAGAAGGCCCTAGCGTGCACAGAGCAAGGGCAACTGTGAAAGTGAGTCTGGCCGTCATTATTTCTACAGAAAATTCATTGAGAAGTAATGCTTGAAATTAATTGATATGCTTCTCAAAACAAGGTAGAAAATGACAAAACTAACAAAGAACACACAATTTTATAAAAAAGGGAAAAAAGAAAATTAGCGCCGGTGTATATCAGGAATTGGCGCCCTGGCTCGAAAGAAAAATTATGGGGATTTGAAATAAAATAGTGATCCACTTTCCACCACGTGGCGAAGTTTGTGAAATGAATCCCAGGAAATAATCACGGTCTCAAAAGCAATGCCCCTTTCGAAGGTAAATAAGACACGAATATGTCAATGCCGACGGGTTGTAGGTATTGTTCGAAAACGTATTGTGACTGCTCGACTTTCCGAGTTTTACATTGCGTAAAACATTTTGTTCGTGACTTCGACACTTTTTAAGATGAGAAGCAAAACGATGGCGAAATAAGCATGTCTGTTATCTACCTATAATCACTACATTAATTCAACAAAAATGTTTACCTCCGACGACGTCCGGTGACCTAACCTTTGAGAAGTGACTTGTCTTAAAAATACTAGAACATCCTGAAATTGACCTGTCATGCCCATGCCACCTGATGCATGCTTGCAGTCTCTGGTACCAATTATTTCTTGTGCCAAAGGATGTGAAAGCTTGTCCAAGATTATTGTCTTGTCCGTATACGAGAGTCGCCTGAAGTGACAAAGGATTATTAAATGAAATGGTTCATGGCCAACGATGAAATTGTTACGTTAACGTTCCGATTTTTTAGCTTACCGTTTATTTCACGAACAATGAATAATAAAATAAGTGTATCGCACGTCATAAAGCAGATGTCCGGTGTCCACTTAATTAATTGCACGTTGAAACATCTTTTAACTATACCACTGCGGCAGCAGTGCGGTGACGATTCGGCCCTCATAGATGACACTGAAGCCCGGGCTGTGAAATGCCCCTGAACTTTAAGCGTGACGGAGCTTTCGATAAGCAGCGTTCTTCGAAAGTCGCAGTCAGTTTGATAATGAAATTTCTGTTAAATAAATGACGGAGCATATAATGATGAAAAGTTAGGTGGAAACGGACATTTCTATACTTCGATTTAGGCTCAAACAAAGTTCGCTTGGCATCAATTGCCACTACGACGATATAAACGATTACTATGCATTTCAGACCCTATGAGACCCTGTTTTTCGGCGATAATTTCTTCAATCTTTGTCCAATTAGCTTGAAATTTTGGCAGATGATGTTTCAGCTCAAGCGCCAATTTTTGTCAATATGGTCTTTTAACAAAATATAAAAATTTAGAGCACTTGTCGTTGCCTCGTAATGTTAAAATCGGCTCCGTAAATCCGGCAGTGGAGTAGAGGCTATCCGTACGTAGGCGTGACGTCACAAACACGTGACCATTAAGCTCCGCCCTCCCGGCGGACGGGGTGGTGACCTTGGCCGGTCAGTCGGCTGCGTGGAGCGGGCGGGGCAGTAGCTGTCGCACCGGGGCGGCTCGCATGGAACGTGGCTGCCGTGCAGTTGTCGTTGCAGCCGCAACTTCATCGAAGGAGCTAAATAGCGCGCATAAGTAACGCACTAGCTGAAGCCCTCGACTTTGTATTTATCACAAATGTACGTACACCTTGTTCAGCCACAAAAAAATATCTATTTCCACACAAGATTCGGGCTTGTGAAAAAAAAAACGCTAATAAAAGACGCTGTTGATTTCAAATGCTTGCATAAAATTACGTATCGCGTCAGACTACGTCGGACGTCCTAATTGCAAAATATAATCACCATTAACAGGATGCAGTTATGTGTTTGATATATGAAATTTGATTAGGAATGTATGCCGGCGTGATCGATTTATATCATCCCGGTGCAGCATAAGCATTGAACAATGAACACCTTCAGGACTAATTCATTTTATCATCGACTTAGGTTGAGGAGGTCGCCGGACTAACTTGACCCCCAGATCTTGTGTGTTGAAATGCAAACATGAAAAGTAAAAGCCTAGAGATAGTTACCTCACCACTGAGGACATACCTACTGTTACATAAGTTTTACAAAAAGATACGTGTTTCTTGATGATCGTTCTCATGTAGTGCACAACGTCCGCCTGCCACAATTCTATTTATTTCTGTGCACGTCTTAACCCGCGAGTTGCTGGGGGGGGGGGGCGTTAAACGCCCCCATTTTTTTGCCGGGCCATAGCACAAAAACCGCGCGCCGCAGGCGCGCCAAATTTTGGGAACCTGTAGGAAATTGATTGAAGTTTATTGTGACAAAGTTTCAAAAAAATCGGTCGGAATTTTTTTTTTAGATATCGAGGTTTTAGTGATGTCATGATTTCTGAGTTTTCGACCAAAAATGGCACATGTTCAAAAAATCATATAAAATCACAAAATAGACATACAGACATGCCGTAAACGCCATTAGACTGCCAATACCTTGAGCAATCAAATGGTTATCTTCGATTATTGATTATCGTTCCGCATTTTTCAAAATCTTGAACTGAATCTTGGCAATTTCTCGTGACTACTTCACGACCATGATACAGGCATTTCTTAAATGAAATTTTTTGAGCCAACACGTACACATATGAAAAAATGAATGTCACCATCGTGTTCTACGCCCCAAATTGCCCATAAAACATGTGTCACAGGTTGTGAATATCAGTTTTGATTTTCGGGGATATGTGCCTACCCGGTTGACCTGACCTTGACCCTGACCTATGCTTGACTGACCCCTACATGGAGCTGACACTCTTGTAGACCTCATATGATGGATTGTGCACCGTTTTGACAGAGTTTATGACGAGAGGCGCCCATTGCGAAGTCCTGAAGTCCATGCTACTGAAAGCCCGATGTCAGGTGTTTGAACTGACCTTGACCCGACCTGTGACCTCAAAATTCAACTTTGAAGTACTCATCTGATGCGTCTCGTCGCGTTTTTTTCGTTTGCCGCCTCGTGCGTTTCGCTGCGCTTATTGGTTCTCGAGTTATCGGCTGGGGGCGTTTAACGCCCCCCCCCCCCCCCCAGCAAACGGTGGTTGGCGAAATACCCTAGCAACTGCCGGGTTAACAATATTACTCACACATGACATTCTACCATATGACACATTACGCTTCTGCCCCACCCGGCGCCCCGCACCGCTTCACGAATTACGAATACGGTCGTCTCGCTGGAGCGATGCCCCAGGCAATCGGCCGTGCCCGAGACTCTTCATCCTACTTTGTTGCTTTCTGCGCCTTCCTCAGAAACATTTATTGACACTGCCCAATATATCAATATTTTTGGGTCATGCAGAGGCTTACGCATGATCTTATAGGTAATCGCGTAGTGACCTGACCCAACCTGACGATGAGATAGGTGCAACTCCGGCTTAAATAAATGTTCAGAGTCCAAGAGTTCATCATCATCCATCTTTCCTTCTACGGCCGGTTCCGTTCCAATAGATCCTACCTTGATTCTGATCATTCTGAATATTCTGAGCTGGTTCGACGTTTAAATACCAAAATAAGGAAAAGAGGACATCAAATGCCCTCGAACGGATAATCTTTTGGCTTTCGTCCCGAAACAACTTTGCCAGCTTCACTTGTCTCCAGTACGTGGTCCCGCTGCGACCTCTCCGCGGTGCTGACACCGACTGAAGCGGCATAGACCCATCACGGTCACGGCCAGTGGGCGGAGTCAAGCTGAGCTCGGCGTAACGTGATTGGCCAGCGCTCCTATCCAATCTGGTGCGGTAGCGAGCGAGCCTCTATCCGGGTGCAAAAACTGATTAACATTACGAGCCAACGACAAGTGCTCTAAATTTTGATATTTTGTTAAGAGACCAAATTGACAAAAATTGGCGCTTGAGCTGAAACATCGTCTGCCAAAATTTCGAGCTAATTGGACAAAAATTGAAGAAATTATCGCCGAAAAACGGGGTCTCATGGGGTCTGAAATGCATAGTAGGTACCTACAAGGGTTACCCGCGTGCTCCGCAACGCGAAGGGGGGATTTTTTGACCCGTGGGTATTGGGTTGGTCTGTGTCGATTTGGTTGGTAGATATCCATTTCGTTCGATTGCTTTTTGACGGCCAAGCATTTTATCGCATCGAGGTGCCCGTGTCGTATTATCATGCGTTCTACTTTAGAATGATTCGAAAACTGGCGTGAAGTCTTTTGAGGGCAATCGATGAATTTCGCTAAAAATGACAATGTAATGGTTTGGAACATTTACATTTTTAAGGATACTGTTGCTAATCATGCAAAAATGAAGAGTGAATATTGGACAGAATTGAATGCTCTATCCAATGGTACCATATTCAATTGCCAAAGGTATCAGGTTATGCAGCAAACCCCGTGTGATTAATAAAGTGGCACAAAATTGACAAACACCATTTTCTCCTGTGATTTGCACCACCTTGATTTGGATCAATCAGCTTTTCACAATGTTTATATGAGAGGCGGTACCTTTCTCTTGCAAATAGGCGTTGATTCAACTCGCTCCATTTAACGGTCACCTAAAAATAAAATTAATTCCAAAATCCCTCAAAAACCGCAATTTTTCAAATAAAAGTGCCCTCTCCGGTGCACGTGGCGCGTGCTATCCTCTGCATTGCACACCATTCAATAGCCCGTTCAATTCTGTACACTATGCTGTTTTCCCCGTGCCGATCGGGCGCACGGTTACCGAGATATTGCACGGGGATCGGACCCGTGTCGGGCAAATTTAGCCATTTTCGCCCGATTTTGCAAGCCGATTTATACATGTAAAGTCTATGACGCGAATTTGCACTTTTTGAGCACACGTCACGCGCTCCCTACCAATCCGATCGAGCTGAGACCCATCAAAGGCACGTCGCGCATCCTTGATCTATGAGTTGTGCAAATTTCACCGGGCTAGGTGCAACGGTCTGGCCTGTAGTCCACGCAAAGCACGACCAAGTCGGGACCTCGGTAACGGACAGACGCACCCTCCTCAAATAGTAATATAGATAGTCCGTTTTTCTTAAGTTTGCCCCTCACTGTAAACGTCTCTTTGAACACAGCACGAGAATTGCTCGCTGAATTACTGAGAAAACTGGTTAGCGCACATTGTATTGTAGATATGAATAATATTTTCAAAAATAAGTTTTGAACACCGACAATTTAACGTTATGTTAAGCGCCGTGCAATTTATTTATTAGTTCAGACATAATTCCTGAGAAGTCGTCTATCCCTGTGGGGCTGTAGGTATTGACAGATACGATTTACGAGTCTGTGAAATAGTAAATAAATTTGATGAAATTGATCGTCTGTGAAATCTGGTTAAATCAGTGTGCGCCAACCAGTTTTCTCAGTAATTCAGCTAGCAATTCTCGTGCTATGTTCAAAAAGACGTTTACAGTGAGGGGCAAACTTAAAAAAAAACGAACTATAATACATATCAACGATTGCAGCAGAAAAGCTTCGGCATACCAGTTTAGCATTGCCTCGTTGAAAATTCAACTCATAACTCGAAGTCCTGTAAAAATTAAGTCTTGCAGTCATGAGTCAATTGATATGTTTTACTCCCCTAAGTAAAGGGCCACCGCACACACTAAGAAATGTATGTACTGCCTCCCCCCCCCTACCCCCAGCCAGCCCTCTGACTGACCAAAATTACGACTCAGTTGATAAGATTTAAACAAAAGATACACATTCTACGACTGAGTATTACCAATGGTGCTTTAACCAATAGTCAGTGCTGTGTAATGGGTTCAAAATTTCTTAGCACGATGAGCGATAAAAGACTGTTGCAAAGGCCAATGCGTCATCAAAGAATCAGTGTTTTGTTTACTGAAGAGCAAAGAATGTTGCAAAGGGCAAGCGTAATTAAAGAGTCCGTTTTTTTCTGGAGAGCAACATAAAACCCACATGAAATAAAACAACACATACAATTCCCACAAAAAACGGTTACGAAGAAGAGAGCATTTATTTATCTAGTACATTATGCTTATATTTGTGTGTACACTACCTATGCATCTAAAATGTATGTAAAGTATATCCCGGATCAAGGAATCCAAAATGAAGACGGTTAAAATTACATCCAGTCGCGGAACAGCATATCATTTGCTTCTGTATAACGCAGCTCTCAGCGACTGAAGTTAGGTTGCAGAAGTCACGACAGTTTGCATCGTTCACGGCAGATGCTTCCAGTGGTAGTCCCGTCGGCTTGTCGTTCAGTTTATCCCTTGCGCGGGAAAATGAACCTTCTGCAGGCGTTGAGACACTCCTTCTCTGACGAGAATCGGTTGGCGTTGCCTCCGCAGCCGCCGAAGATGAAGCGCACACAGCGCTGCTGGCTGAAGTCAAAGTACCAGCTGGGAAAAAAAGCAGTACAGACGACCGGCTCGAACGGGTTACCGGGCAGCAGGCAGCGCGGGCACCACTTCGTGCAGATCTGGCAAGTGGGCAGCCGCAGGCCCGGGTACGGCTTCAGCGGCAGCTTGGGCTTCACCAGCGGCGGGTTCACCGTCTTTGGCGGCGTGGGGGTGACGCCGGATACGGAGAGAACCGCCAGAGAGACCAGCACGGTCAGGAGCAGACGCGAGGCAGAGGACGCCATCGCTGCGGTGGGCTTCAACGCTGTAGGCCGGACGAGGTTCCAACTCCAACTGAGCTAGTGACGGGGTGGCGTCGAGTCGCTTTATACCGTGCAGGCGTGACGTGACAATTGATAAGTTCACAGCTTTCAAATGTCAAAAATGCACGCTGTGAGAATCATTCGCAATCGCCATTCGAACAGTGAATTCATTTTAATATCGTTTTATGCAGTCTAATCGCTTTTAAGTGTTTTCATATACTTAAGCCACGCCATGGTAGATAGATTAAATCACGTGTATTTGCCGAGAGCTGCAAATTGTCAAAAGGAAGAGTTTTCATAGTCCCATGTAAATTGCGATAAAGATGTATTGTGCACTGTGAAGAGTGCACACCACGCATTTCGTCGTGAACAGTGAACACGCCTTACACAATCAATAGAGTACCGTTCGAGTGTTGGTCAAATGAGATGGAGTCGGCTGTCACAAACCCGTCAGCCTAAACGTTGGCCTGCGTCGCACGTTAGCCTCAGCGAGGTGCCATCTTGCACTACGACGCACTTCCGCTCCGCCGCAGGCATAATGGCATCGATTCCCGCTAGCGCTAAATGACAGAACCAATGACAGTTTGACAGCGAACGAAGGCGGAGTGGATACATGCGGTGCAGCCCGGTCTCAACTAGCTTTGTATAAATCATTTTCCGAAACGCATTATAATCAGCAAGAAACACTATACATATGGGGACGATTGCTATCAGAGTTTCCGAAAACCTTGAGTCGAGCTTGTAGAAAACATGCATTCCACATTTATTGCCCTAAAAAAACGTACACGCAGTTTGAAGAGAATCCATATCTGCCCTTCATAATCACTTTCCGATTATCCACCACCATAGTGGTCCATATATGTATTCACCGTCCACCCCATCGCTATATCACATGAATGCGATGGTTATCGGAGCTGTAGCCTTTGCATCGGCACCTAATCCTGCTCCACTGACATTAGCCGTCCCCCTGTCGAAATGCACTCAGACATATTGGTCTAAAGGTAAACAGCGAGCTGAATCAGCTGAACTGACCTCATTTTGAAGGTGTGCCCGCCAGCAGCGGTGGCCAGTAGCTGGTGGCCCAAGCAGATCCCGAAGATGGGCTTGGCGTGCTTGGAGCCGGCCTGGGACGCCATCAGGTCACGCAGGTTTGACACGGTGGTGGCGCATTTCACGGGGTCGCCTGGAGGTGGGATGTAATGTGTCAAAAACCAACGAACTTTGAGCTGCATGGGACACAATTCCTTCAGAATTCATGTTACGAATTTTAGAAAATGAATCCCGATATCCGTAAAAATGGACCAATGTCCACATTCACATCGGTTATCCATATAAATTCCGAAAAGTGTATTCAATCCAGGAAATAAATGCAAGAAAGACTTAATATATCGTCTGCGAATGTCCGGCCTGATTTAGAAATATCAGTATTTCAGCACCCTCTGCCCTGCCAGCTGGCCACTCATGCGACCAGCAGTTAGTCCGACATCCCTAGCCAACTTGCCTGGTCCGTTGCTGACGAAGAAGCCGTCGTACTTGTTGAGGTCGAGCGGCTGATCCCAAGGCACCAGGTCCACCCTGGCCCCTCGCTTCAGCAGACAGCGCAGTTGGTTGTACTTGAGGCCGCAGTCGACGGCACAGATGTAGGGGGTGCCACCAGCGTTATACGAAACAGGCTCCTGGGGACAGGAGGACCGGGTGAGGTCAGGTGACAGGGTGGTGTATTCACGCTTCTCTAGAGGGCGCCGCAGCTTACAAAATGAATGTCGGGCCCAGTCTTACAGCAAAGAGGAAAGTTGTCGGTTCAGTATAGAATAGAACGTAGCGATTAGTTATGTGCCGCCACATTTGGTCGATATCAAATACAAGTAAATGGCGAAGTACTTGTATGAACAGCATTATAACATATATATGTTTTCAAATATAACCTTATGTTCAATGATTGCGAAATGCAAAAGGTTCCAAAATTAATTACATTTTCGTTTGTAATTAATTTTGGAACCTTTTGCATTTCGCAATCATTGAACATAAGGTTATATTTGAAAACATATAGATATCAAATACAATATTAACAGAATAACTTAAACGTAGGTATTCTTAATCAGCATTTACATCCAAAGTCCCTCTCACTTACAAAAAAGATCCAAGCGGAAACACTAGTTAGCAGACAGACGAACTGCCTGAACTTTTACCAACCTTGACAGAGACTTCGGCCACCAGGTTACGAGTGCTGGGGTCATCCTGGGGCACAGAAGCCGGTTCCGTGCCCTCGGGAACGATCTTTCCCAGCATCGTTCCCTTCTCGCGCAGTTGTTTGGTTAGCTGACGCGTGTCGATTCCCTGTGGAAAGGGACGAGAGATCATGAGAGCGAGAGAATGGCGACATTATGGAAGATCGGTGGTGAAGAGATGTTACACTGGAAACTCACGTAAGGGGATACACTGACAAATTAACGCAGAACTAGGCGTGGAGGTCGCCTCTACACTTCCAGCATCTTCTAATCGTTAGTAACACACATGATACTATATTATTTAGCATACATTTCAGGCGAAATCTTATGGCTCCACTAGCCGTTGCTCCAGTGATCAGCATCCAGTGACCGCAGCCTCCGACTCCAGTTCTCTCACGGATCACTGACCATTTGCAGTGACCCGTGAACACTGAGCTGTGTCATATGTGACCAGCCACCTCGTAATTACGGGAATCGCGACCCGTGATGCTGGGGCACATGTACCCATGATCCCACGACAAACCCTTGATAAAATGACCCACGATCCGTGATCCCGTGACCCATGACCAATGACCCATGACCCACGACTCATGACTAGCGACACTGTGACCCATGACCCTGCCACTCCACGATCCCATACCGTGATTCCGGTGACACCCTGTTCCTTCATCCACTGGTCGAGTGTCTGTCGGCTGTTCCAGTGACTTGGAGAGGTGCACAGTTCACCAACCACCAGACCAGACGGCCAGATCCGGTGCGACTCAAAAAACCTGTCCACGACACATAGACGATTATCAGCTGAGCACAGTTCAACATGAAGGGTTGATAACATAAACAGTTGGAAATGATGTATAGCAAAAAGTTTTTGCCCAATTTTCATTCTGTATGATTGATAGCATTTAAATATGTTACACAAAGATCCATCATACAATTATCACTAAGTTTTCAATGTCAACCTATCAGTTCACTCCCTGCTGATCATTGCTTCACACACTTAATTGATACTTAAAACGTTTATCTGTTTAACGTTTTGTGAGACGGGATGCGCATATTATGTCTAAAATTATGCTATGCACCTGTGAAGATATCGTCTACCACGCAGCCGTGGGTGTGACGAAATGACCACCGCTGCCGAGCTCTCACCTGGGAATGCCATGCTCGTCCGTGTCGCCGCCGGGAACGCCGTAGTTGCCGATCAGGGGGTAGGTGAGCAGCAGAATTTGGGAGCGGTACGACGGGTCGGTCAGCGACTCCGGATAGCCCACCATGCCCGTCTGGAACACTGACAACAACAGATCGCGTTAGATTACTGGCGGTTGATTTACTTCAATGTTCAAAAAAAAAAGCCTGGTGATAGCCGGTCTGATTTAATTCAAACAATCTGTTTCTGTAAGCAAGCCATTTGTTTCCTTTTAAAAAGCGACTGCCATTGTGTACTTGTAGCATACCGAGGGCAGTTAGGAGTTCAGCTTGGTTCTGAACCTTGATCCTCAACGTAACACAAGCGGGACAAAAAAAAAAACGACCTCGCGCTTTATGAGGGTTAATGTCACATAAACCTGATAAACGGAGGGTCCAGATAAATGACCTTCACAATTCCCGGATACAGGACCAGTTGTTCCGTAAAAGGGACGATGTCTCCTGATTAGTGAACCGTGTTTAACGACCGGTTTTTGACCCGAGAATAATGACCTCAGAAAGGGCAACACCGACAATAAGCGCAGAGTGCGGACCGTTTAATCGTATAGCTACTCGTTTGAGGGACAGAAGGAAATGTGTTATCGGAACATTAGGTGTATTTGAAATGTAGTCGTGTCACTACGACGCCCGAGGCCTGGCAACAGCCCGGGCTGTGCCCTGCTCGACTGACGAGTTGATCACCGGAAACCATCGTCTGGAGTATCGCGTGGCTCAACCGTCAGCCCGGGACTTCATTCATTGTCATACAGCGACATAGGCCCGATACCGATGCAATCATGACGTGGGCTCAGGACCGATTTTGCCCGACGATGAGCGAAATATCTGGAAACCATGGTTAGGAACATTTTTTCAGATCCCCCTACCGGGCCCAGACCGGACCAGTTGGCCATATAAAGAAGAAACACCAGTATTGGCAGTCTAGCCTTGGCAGTACCAGACCTATACGTCTCCGTCACAGCCACGGCGCATATAGTGCGCTGTGCGCCGCAATACTGCGCCTATAGTATACGGCCATAGCTGTGAAGTGATGCAGCGCAGCTATGTAAATATTACACAACGCCAGCAGAGAATACCGAGTGCGTCCTCGAGGAGTGTCGAAACCACTAACTCCAGTCCAGACTCCAGAGCCTATACGGAAGTGTGGACGCCGCTAGCTTAGAAGCAAGCACACCTACATAAATAAATAGATGGCAGCTAAACGTTTTCAACAAGAAGTAGTAACGACAGATAACAGGAATTACGAGTAACCTTAACATTTTCCGAAAACATTTATGTCTGCGGAAGTTAACTATAGGAATTAGGACGCACTTACGCATCATTATTTCATAGACGTATTGATACCTATAAATGGGAAAGGTAATGTGAACGTGTTGCTTTTTTATTCAAAGTGGTTACACGTGTGTTTCGGGAATAATTCCTTGATCACACCATATAAAAATAACAACATCCAAATACAATCGAGGTCGAAGGGGTGGCCACAGCCATCTCGAAAAGATTGCGGAGCGAGCGAAGTCTCACGTAGAATAGCAAAAATTTATGAGTATGCGCGGCCGACCGTGGTCACCAAAAACGGCCGGGCGAATATGATGTGATCAGGGGATTATTCCCGAAACACATGTGTAACTAATTTTAATATAAGAACAAGAAGTTCCCCTTGCCTTTCCCCCTTAGGTTTCATGAAACATAAGCTCTAGACAAAGTCTGGCCGAATTTGTCCTGACTTTGACCTGAAGTCAACACTCGAGGTGACATGTCTGAACAAAATATGTACATAGGTGGCATTCGACGCACCTGGGTAGGTATAACAAGCGAGTTCGTACATACAACCAAACAAACATTGTCCAGTCCCCGCTGCCGAGGTACGTTATAAAAAATATGCCGATCAACTTTCAGGTCTTCGACCTGACCTCATGCCACCGACTGACCCGGGTCTTTAAAATAAGGTACCAAACACTGAATCTGCATCCACATTTTTCCCGCAAATCGTAAACTAAACGAGGGGAAAACAACGAGGGAGACCAGGTAGCTGTCCCCTCCGATAACCCGCGCCGGGCCGGGCAATTTTCAGACCCGTCCTGCAGTTTTTGGCTCATCTTTTCCTGCTCATGGGAACATTTGCACCTTATTCTGCACAAGGGAACATTCCAGACCCGTGTCGTTCAAGGTCAGGTCACCAAGTCATGTCAACTGACCCAGCTTCACGAAAGGTTTTCATGCTCGCCACACCCACCGACACGGGATAACTGATTGCTTTGAAACGCTCAGCGACTGATATGAGTGACAGGATGTACAAAACGTTTACCCAGATTTTCGACGAAGGTGGCCTAAGGGCAAATCAATTTTATTACCGCTCCATCAGTCAATGCGGCGAAAATTGAGCTGCGACGTTTTTGGACGAAAGTCATTCTAAACACGCTAAAACATCGGTAATACCTATGACAGATTGCATATTGACTCGGAATATTGCACCCTGCGGCCTGCACCCTTGACGCCTGTTATGCCCCTGAGGTCACCTTACGGTCGTCATGAAAGGCCTCCACAAGTTTTTGACAATAACCTTTGATAATGTCATGCTAGGGCGATGAAAACACTTCGGATGCGTTCAGCTCAATGATACGGATCGATTGATAAGCAGCATGACCTTTTCCGGTCCGGCAATGACCTTGACCGTAGGTCAAATTTTAACATGACCTTTTAAGGTCGAAATATAGATCGCTCGAGGCATCTCGACGAGAAGAATACGAGAGGAGCGATTTAACGTTAGCATAAATAATACTTACTCAGATTCTCGAGTCATCTGCTTGTGAGTTGTGCACCGGATTACAGAGCAACGTCGTGTGTTGATGTCGATTGTCGAGTCCACTGGCACACAGTGTCGTATCTAGCACCGGTCAGGTAGTCTTGGACCGGTCTAAAACGTTTTGGTTTCAGTTTACGCTGACACACGCGGCACAATAGGCAGACATCACAATTTACTCACCGATTTCGCCGGAGGTTGGCTCCAGGGAGCCGAACAGCTCCCCCTCGAATCGGCTGCCATCCTCCAGCAGTACGGCACCCTTCATCGTGACAGCTTCCGTCACGAAAAGTGACAGGTTACGTCACGGACCAGGACGGCGTCTGTCCGTCACACGCTCGGACAGGCGACGACGCCGTGCGCAGACCCCGATCGTTGGTACTCCTGGAGTTGACGGTTTGTCACAGTCTTCCTCGAGTTTGCAGACCACTGAATCACCTGTAGATAACACCTAACTCACACACTCTCCCACACTCCCCACTCCCTCACTCCCGCCTCTGCACCCGCGCGCTTTTCGCAGAGCGCGCGCGCCCTCGCTCCGCCGAGGCAGCTCGCGGACAGAGTGACCACGTGGCTCCGGCAGGGAGGCCCTCTGTCCAGGCAGCTGAGCGGCCGGTCGCCGGGGAGAGGGGGTGCGGGGGTGAGCCTGGATGGGCTGGATCCCCGCCCCGCCCCGCCCCTCCCCGCTCGACGGCAGGGGCCCCGCGGAGGTAAGGAGCTCGGGGTCAAATGACATGGCTCATGTGCGTTCAACCACGACAGACCAAGCGGACGGGTGTGCTTCATCCGTAACCTATGTTCCTACGGTTCTAGTCTCGCGACTTTCGAGGATGGAGGATATTCGAGTTGGATTACGAGTCTACGACGATGAGTTTCGTCTTGTTTTCACGAGCTATGAAAGGAGAGTAAAAAGAAAAGATACAAAATGTTTCATCCACCTCGCCCCGCAGACGTTACGTTGTGTATTTTTTATACACCGTATCTAATACAAGATACACAGCAAAATAGTCTTTTTCACGGGTTACTCGAGCCTCAAGATATCTCGGCTTGATAAAATGCCATGATTCATCGTGTTTCGGAAAAAAAACGCTTTTGATTAAAAAAAAAACTTCTCAATTAATCCACAGATGGGGCTCTTCAATTGTAGGAGAGAACAAAAGAATTACGTAGGTTCTGGGATCAGATTGGCCAAAAACTTATTACAAATGCCCAGGTAACGGGGAATAAAGGTCGCCCATTCCACACACGAAGTCGCCCATTCAAAAACAGTACCCATCAAGCCCACGCGTCGCCGTGTCACCGGTCACGCGTCCATGGAACATTCCAGAGATGGGCGGGTCGATATGAGGCCCGGTCATCTCAGCTGACTGACCCTCCCCCCCCCCCACCCCCCAGCGCGTCTGTTACCAAGGGCCGCCGGGCGGGCGACGCGTGGCGACTGCCCTGTGCCCTGTCTCAGCCGGGCTAGGTTCCGACGGTTCCGACCCCTAGCCAGCGCCCCCACCGCCACCCTGCGCCGTGGCGGTGCCGGGGTCGGTAGCCGTTCATCTGATGGCGATCGTAAACCTCAAGGACAGCAGGGATGCACGCTCGTCGCTCATTTACATATAGGGTGGGGATTTGGATGCGGAAAACACCAAGCGGCACGCATTGGGAGATAGCAGTCGGTCGGTGCTGGAGAAACGGTGGCTCCGAAGGCTGCCGCCTGCTTCTGACTTGTAATCGTTGTGGATAGATGGGCCTGGGGCTCCAGGGTGTGTACCGTCCAGTCTAGCAGACGCCCGAGTTAGTACGCCGAATGTTGGCCTGCAGAATGGGGTATGCGTGTAATCACCCACCCTTCCGACATAGATGTTCATTTAAAGTGGGCATCGGGTAGCGATGATTTGGAGGTTTTCACTATGCCAGTTGCCACTACCCGCTACCGTACCCTGTTGTTATCCGAGATGATCAGCTAGTCAGCACAGGCACGCACACGACTTGAGAAATGGTCAATACTATGTACATACTATCCGATAACAGACTGCTGATTACTGAAGAAAGTCGACAAGACATGCATATTGCATGCGGCCGTTACTCGATGACATAATTCTGTTATGTCTTTATGGTAGTGTTTACCTGGGATTTCTGAACTGTGATTTAATAGCTTTTCGTGTACATTTGATCAGACTCGGTGACGTTCATTGCCCTGAGAAAATCCCGCCCGCGTAAGTGCTGCTGCCGATGCCGATGGAAAACGATCGTGGTATCCACCGTGCGCCGCAGTGTTATCAGTGCACACTACAATTGTGCGCGGAGAATGAAAGTACCGCATCCCAGAGCCACATTTTCCAACGTCCTTTCCCAAAAATTTCGATGAATATTAAATGATGTGTTTCACAAGTCCACTGCAAGGAAGCAGGTCCCTGCTGATAAGCTGTTTCCAAATTGATGCCCATCCTAAAACCTCATCTGCATGCCTTCCATCCATCCCAGATCACAAACATCGTGCTTCACATGTGTATATTATATATAAAAATACGTCATACACGTCTGCAGCACTCATTCACACAGAAATAAAATGCAGCGCAACTGACGATCGCTCTCAGTCTTCAGACAGAGCCGCCATACACTGCTAGCCACTGATTTCAGGCCGGTTCCGATGATTGACTATTATGTATTATGACACCTCCTGCTAGTTTGGCTAGCAGCGTGGCAGTACATGTACAGGGAGATACTATTGCTAGACGACCGAGCGTCTTCTGGTGGTTAGTGAGTGATTTAATACAGGTATGATCACCCGAGTATGTGCTACAGCAGTCAGAACGTGCAGAGAGATAACATCGTAACAGATACAAGAACATGAAACGAACGAGCAGACCGCCCTGTCTCAAACGAGCTTTGAGCTACGAATTACAGAACAATGAGTAGCAGCTAGTAATCAAGTTACTTTGACGTGTTATCAGAACAATACAGCGATCTCCGACCCCTGCAGCGTAACAAAGAGACGGTCGATGTGACAAGTTCACGAAACAAACGGTACCCGCTCAGCGCCAACAAACGTTCAGCACCCGCCTCCCCGACCCTTTATCAAACAGCGCAATCGGAAGACACGCGACAAGAAAATATCGCATGAAAAGGTGTAAATGCAATATCAACCCGATCGTATTTCATTCAGGGGTTACGGTGCGAAAGGATGCTTCTCGTATTTTCATAGTATTAGGCAGAATTACTAAATGTGAGTTCAGTGGTTAGGAACTAATGAAGCACATTCTACACAGTATCGCAGTTAAAATTTCGTTCGTGATGCGAAAATTCGTCATAATCTCAATTACGGTAGACTACCGCGTACGTCAAACTAGTGAAGCTCGAGCACATTTTAACCCGGTTGGCAAGCACGCATTGGTTGTGGATCGGCTGCCACAAGACGCCACAGCTATCACCGTACGGAGGTGCAGACGCCACGGAGAAACGCCTGCTCTACCCGAGATCATCACGCATTCACCATCAACAACAAAACACCGTCATTTACGTGCTGCTCAATATTCGGAATGAAATGGAATGGAGCTTTCAATAATGGCTCCCGATATTCACATGATCTCTCGCGTGTAAATCGCAGCGCATGAAAAACGCAATTTCTTATCACTATGACGAGTGTAAATAAGTCCTTCGATGGACCCATAATAGACCTCACACAGGCAAGCAACGTCTAGCTGGCACTACCATTGGAACGCTGCCTCTCCTGTCATTAAAATCTCGAAATATCACCAAATGTCTCCGAATCAAGTCATCACAAACGTCACAAAACCAAATATTCGCAACAAACGCTGCAATCCTGTCTCTCAAGACATTTCACGATTGTCTTCCACCTAGCGTCATCAACAGAACGTCTAAAACACTCGCAGCCGTCTTGACTCGTGGCGCCGCGCAGCGTCCGCCGGCGTACTATCAGTTCGCCTCTGGGCCGCTGAGTGTCGCTACTGCAGCACGCAGCAGCCGGTTCCCTCGTGCGGCGGTTCGGAGGTCACTCCTCCGCCGGGCACCGTGCTGACAAACTTCTTCATCTCGATTTCTCCGTCGTTGGCGGCGGCTGGCCCAGCTGCGCCGGCACCTGGCGGCAGGGGGCGCGGCGGGGTGCCGGCTGAGCCGGGACCGGGGCCGGGCGGCAGCGGTGGCCGCTGCTGGGCGCGCTGCAGCTTCAGGTCGGCCAGCGTGCCCTGCGGCGGCGCGCTGACCGGGCCCGCACCGCCGGCCGTGCGCACGGTGACGTGCACGTGGATGTCGATCTTACCGGACTCTGACGAACCGCTCTCCAGCGCTAGCGACCACATGGAACAGAGTGTGAGGCGTGCTCAGCGGGCGCCGGTACTGGACACGCAGCCGCTGACCGGCCGGCTGTACATACAGCCACAGCCAGATACAGCGGCAGGGCGGCATGCGGGGAGGCGCACTCACAGGCCGGGGACATCAGCTCAACAGCCGGTGAGAGATGTTATATACAGGGTAGGTATGCTCATTCCTGGTTGACATTCATAAACAATTCATTCAGCACAAACGGGTTCCGATTACGAATAAAAATGAACAGAATGAAGTAAAAATACAACTGCTGTCAAACCAGTAGCGCAAAAGAACAGTGGCAAACGTCATAGCATGCATTTGAGAAATGCAATAAATTAATTGGGAATCATTGATCTTAACATTCATTCCTCGTTAGATATAAAACAGCACATAAAAAAATCAGTTACAAAAATGAGCAAGAATCTACACTATACAGCAGCTGAGCAGCAGATGCGCGAACACCTAACCTCTTACCGCGTATGATGATCCCACTTAAAATAAGTGAGTCAGGACGGTCACGGATCCGCTGAAAATACTTCATCTTACCTGGATCGCTGGAATCGTCTCAGCCCACCTAACGTACCGTCCCATTCCACAGCATACAATGTAACACCATGAAACACTTGACAGTACTACAATACCGGACAGTTATTAAGTGTCTAATCCGCAGTGAATGTGAAGATAAACCATGACATTATTTCAAAGCAGCCTGTGAGCAATGACTCAGGAGCTCAGCGTTGGAACTTCCTAAATTCCGGGTCCAGTCTAGTGCATGCATGCACTAGAGGAAAAAGATATTTTGAAGGAAAGTTTTGGCTGCCCGTACCTCAACCACCAAGACGTGTCTACCCAACACTTGGAGCATGTACAAACACACTTCACAACCAGTTCCAGGAAAAGCTTATGGAACATGACCAAAACATCCCTCCCTTTGGCCAGACACCCGATACCACTGGAGATGGGGTAAGACGCCACTCGCAGCAGCTATTCTGGTCTCCCAGACAACACCAGACACCGCCAGACACTGTGAGGACACTCAGACACGCCAGTCTGAGAGTGTCTGGATATTTGTGACTGGCAATAATCACTGAGTGCCGGAAATGACAACACCGACCGACATCCCCGCAGACGCCATGGATCAAGCACACACCACACGGACGTGGGGAGGGGGACTTAGCTACGTTAACCAAAGCTAGTTGTAGCTAATTACGATAGGTTTGCTTACCCAGGGAAGAGGTGGATGAAACAGGAATTGCACAGGGACACTACTAACTCGACCAGCGGTGCCAAGTGCTACCTCAAACGTTATGGCGCAGCTTTAGCGATCTACATGAGGATTCACTGTTTAAGCCGAGGTCATTTGGCTACCAACAAACCAAGCTAGGCAATTCTACATCATACACACCTCGAACGATTTCTCACCATTCACAGTAGCAATACATACGCATATTTACCTTCACAAACCACTTACAGCATTCACGTCCGACAAACCACACCTAGTACCTACCCCTCCCAGTCTATCACACACGCCACACACACACACACAGCTCAACAAGAAGCCCTGTCCAGCCTACCAAACCCTGTCCAGTCCCACCCACTTACAGTTGGTCTTGGCGTCGGGCTGGTCGTTGTTGTTGACCTGGTGACCGTTGACCTTCCTCGGGTCAGGCAGGGTCGTCACGCCGTCCCCATTCTCAGTCGGACTGGGGACAAACGAAAACGGGGGTAGGAGTCAGACGACCACTTCAGGGACACAAGCGATATAATGCATACAAATTAACGGGAATTCTTAAGTGGAAGCAGCAGAAAGGAAAGGAAAAGAGAATAACAAAGCCAAAGCCACAGATGGTATTGCTAATACCCCACAAAGTGAGCCGAATATTTCATTGGTAGCTGTGAGCCAAAAATGACGCGTTAAAAAATAACAATAACTCCCCATTCACTATCAATTATGTCGACGTGAGGGCCTGTATGCCTCTCAAGCCCTGCTACTTTCAGTTGAACAAACAGCCACCCCACGCCGCCACGGCGGACAAAGCGGGCCGCCGACTTGTTATTCGAGTCACACTCTGTGCCTGCGTCACCACGAGTCAGGGCGTGGCACGCGACACACCCGACTCCGCGGCGGTTATACGATACAAATTGGGGCCGAAGACTGGAGATACGTGATCTCGAGGACGGCACACAGTTCCGTCACTGCCGAGTGGCCTGCTGGTGGAAGGTCCCCTGTTCTCTGTTCTTGACGCACGTGCTGTTTCAAACTAAGTCAATCTCCTTGTCGGGTGAAATGAATGTGGTGGTTCCAGTAACCCGATATTATGTCACGGAGTTAGATTCCGTACGTCGTCCTCTCCTCCACTGATGTTTCGAGCTCAGTCTCGAACATGCTCCGAACACTACGTGCTTCACGTCTTATCTTTTTATTACTCAAACCAAATACTACAAGCGACGCGAATGGCGATGGAAAGTCATATTGAGTTACGCTCATCGCATTAACTCGTTTCCAGCAGTTTCACTTTGTTTCTCAACCGAATTCTGCACCTTATGCCAATACAAATGCTGTTACTTAACAGCAATCATATCCAGATGCAGCCTTTTTCTCTTAAAAAGACTTTTTTCGTAAACTTACATGTAACAGCTTCCAAAAGCCTGGCTTCAAGTACAGAGCTCGGGGAATGGTGAACTGTGGTTGGAATCCATAAGGAAATAAAGAAATTGCTGAGAATGTTTAACGAGCGGCGATATGCGCACTGCACAGTCATGATCTCAAACGCTCAAATACTTGCATTTATAGTTCTATTCCTTGCATTTATACCCAACAAAATGTATGCCTACGCTCGCATCAACCACTGAATGACGTTTTTTATCATTTTCCGGGCTGATGTCTGATTTTACGAGCCAGATCGAACGTTTTCGGCACTGCAACATCTCTCCTCATATCTCCCTACACGTTCCATCTCATCACCGCCCCCCGCTCCTCCCCTCCCTTTCTCCCTCTCCCAGTCCCCCCTCCCCCCCCACCGCCCCGCCCCCTCATCCATCAGTTGCCGGCGCCGGCTGGCGTCGGGGCGGCGCCGCCTTTCAGCCACGTGCGCCCTCCGTAATTGCTGCCGTCCCGGCCGTGTCTCGTCATCCTGTCATCGCCTCGGTGGCGCCACGTTGTTTGAGACGCGGCGGTGGGGAGGGAGGGGGAGAGAGAGAGAGAGAGAGAGAGAGAGAGAGAGAGAGAGAGAGAGAGAGAGAGAGAGAGAGAGAGAGAGAGAGAGAGAGTGAGAGAGAGAGAGAGAGAGAGAGAGAGAGAGAGAGAGAGAGAGAGAGAGAGAGAGAGAGAGAGAGAGAGAGAGAGAGAGAGAGAGAGAGAGAGAGAGAGAGAGAGAGAGAGAGAGAGAGAGAGAGAGAGAGAGAGAGAGAGAGAGAGAGAGAGAGAGAGAGAGAGAGAGAGAGAGAGGAGACGATGAGCTCTGAGTGTTGGGTGTCAGTCGGCCGGGTCCGGCTGGAGCCGACACGGCACGGAATCTATTTCCCCAGACAGCGCACGCTCTAATTTTCCCAGCGTCCCAAGTGACAGGCTGTGCTTCCACCCCTCCCCTCACCCGCCGCGCCGACACCCGTTCGTTGCAGATGATCTGATCCATGACAGCGTAGCAGGCCGACAAGAGCCAATATCGTTCGTGCAGGGAGCGGGAGCACGGAGTCGGTGCTGTGTCGACGCGAATATTGCCCGGCGGACGAGGCAGGCTGATGGTGGGCAGCCGGGGTGGAACGGGGAGGCCTATGGTAGGACGGTATACGGAGAGTAAAAGCACCAGCCAATGGTGGTACGAATAGTCAGGCATAGATGATTCTCGCCATAAATACGGAGAAGTATCGTGCTGAAGGCATGCGGGACCCAAGGTGGAGAAGCTGATCAAATCAGCGAGTAAAGGAAGGACTTACGTGGTAGTGCCGTTGATTCCCGGAACTATGATGGAGATATCGTGAACATCCAGCGGTGTCTTCTGTTCATCCAGCTCCGACTTCTGCAGAGCGAGGGGAGGTGCGTCACGATAAACTAGAGTAGAAGGGGGCCGAGATATTATGACTTGACCAAACAACGAAACAATTTGAACGCACAATGGCGTTAAAAACCACATTGACTTTTTCTAGTGAAAAAGAATACATTGTGAAAACATAAACAGGTGTACTGTGGTTCAGAGCCGTGAAGATTTCACGCACGATTCGCTATCGTCAATATCAATCACCTATACCAACAAAATACGACAATCATTGATAAAGTAGCTGCCCGCTGTTGGCTTACTAAAGCTACACGCGCAACGCATATCCACTCCACTACCAACCACACCACGCACTCAAAGCGTCCGTGTTCCCTTCACAGCCCGGAGCTGACAGCACGCACCGTTAAGTTCACTATCGCTAGCTCACTGTCCCAGAGGCAATCGCCGAGGATGGGAGCCAGGCGCGGCAAACAGTGCCAAACACGACACTGATCAACTAACAGAGAGACTGACAACTGGAAAACGTCACCAGCCCCGACAGGCCCAGCCACTTTTGAAATGAAACAATACATTTAGAAGTGTTGTCGTTTGAGGAAAAATGTTTATTTGATGGACTGAAAACTATATCAGACGAATACGTGAACTTCCATCCAATTCTCTCACGGTACTGTACATAATATGATGCCTGCTTATCTGCAAAGACAATGGTCGTTTACCAGAAACATAATCGCCATGATAACAAATAACTACCCCGTATATAAAAAATCCGTAGTCCACGTTCAACAAATGGCAAATTTGCTGAAGCAGTGAACGGTAGCGATTGACGATTGCCTACAACCTGAATAGAAACTACAGGTAACATGCAAGCTGATAAGCTTGAAGAATGGCCCGATATCCTTGGAATCAGCATCACACTCTCCATCATTCGCACCACAAATACCTCTTGCATGACCATCCCTGACCTCTCCAAACACCCTCCTCTCCTTCCCAGTCCCTTCCCTCCTCTCACCATAGTGCCTTCCGCTCCCAGCCGTATCCTGGCCTCCTGCTTCACATCCTTCTTAGGCGTGAGCGTCTTCTGGCGCATGGAGGTACGCCGGATCGAGTGTTTGGTGGACTGTGTGCGCCGCACGCGCGCCAGCTGGCCGTCCGTGCTGCGCTTCAGTTCCTGTTCGTTACGCAGCTGCTCCAGCCGCTCACGAATCTCCGGGTCCTCGCAGACGTCTGAGAATGCAAAACGGTTGCGTTAGTGGCGAGGAGACGTGCGGTGTTGTTGGGTTGTGTTTGTATGGAGTGGTCACTCTCCATTAGTGGCTCGTCTAGCATACGCCGATGATAGCAGTCGAAATGGCGTGGATCTGAAAATGATGACCGTAGAAGGTAATACAAATTGCAATAAACGTTAAGTTTAAACATCAAATTCACCACAACGCCCGAAGACTACTTCACACATAAATAAATCAACCTATCCGAAAACCGGTAACCCGTAAGAGACTCCATCGCTAAATACTTCCAAGAATATGTTGCCAACACATTAAACAGACACTGCCGGCCAGTCGTAACTAATGCCACCAAACGGCAAATATCTCCGAGTGCCGAGTAATTCAGCCAGCGTGTTGCTTTGATGTCACGCTCTGGCGCACTGTTGGAGTTGTCAGACTCAGTAGAGGGGGGGGGGGGGGCGGCACGACGGGCTACACACTGAGTTCCGGTGAAGTTGTACTGTGCGAATACCGCGAGTGACGGAAGGAAGTCAATGAGTGTCGGTGAGTGTCGGGGAGTGTCGGTGAGTGTCGGTGAGTGTCAGGTGTAACTTCACGGGGTCAATGACCGCAGCTCAGGGCACTGCCGACGGTAGGGATACGTCCTGGGTCAACGGGAGCAGCTGACACGGGCCGAGACACGCACCGGGCAGCACGCGACGACAAACACGCAATATGAGAGAGGAAAGAAGGATATATTGAGCCATCACCAGAAAGGGCAGTGTTAGAATTGGAGCCGGAGTCGGAACTGGAGAGAGCAAAGTGGACAGGCTAGTCCCTTCGCCTATTTCCTTCTGCGTATCATCGTGAACGTCTAACTTGGTGAACAATCACACTGTGATGGAACGAATCAGGATTTATCTCGGATGTGGACCAGACCACATCAAAGCCAGCTTTTTCTGCCATCATCGTTTTTTATCAGAACGGATCCAACATAATAAATATGAACATTTTCTCCTGCTAAGACCGTACAGCTAATGGAAGCTTAAGAAAAGCTGCGATTTGTGTGCCTAACAAAAACAGCCGCATCGAGGATCATTTTCTGATGCAACCCATCGACAAGTTATGTCCGATCAGCGGACAATCGGCGGGTCTAAATCACTATCCGATCAATGTTGGCGCAGACGAGCCCAGTCCCAGACATTCGACAAGCCTCTCTACATGAGGAAAAAATCCATGCTCCCAACGGCAGAGCTGGGTTTATTGATGGCTTTAGAATCGATACCACGAGCTCGATGGCCGGAAGTCGAAATAAAGCACCATCAACAGCAGCTGAGTCGGCGACTAACAGTTGTTCAGCTGGTAGTGATCGGTTATCTACAGGGGATTTTAGTGACTTACCAAACGGAGTCTCTCCATTTCGGGTTTTGGCGGTGAGATCGGCTCCGTGCTGGTATAGTAGCTCTATCACCCGCGGCTGCAACAAGACCATCACGGTAAGGTCACGGTTTAAGGTCACGATCACGATTACAGTTACGACCAGTAGCTGGCCAATGTCACATAGGCAAGGTTACTACATTGAGTCTCAGCCTAAGGTCACGACGAAAACTAAATCGATACAAGGGGCGATTGAGTCTTGTGAACTAGCTGCTTTACGAAATCCAAAAACGTGCTGGGTTAATATTGTTTAGCAAACAGTGTTTCTAGACCACAAAGTACATCTTGTCTGCCTGTAAAAAAACGTGGTTCTATGAATTAATGACAGGCTGCTAACATTTAAGAAAAGCGACATGAACCTTCTTAAAACATTCAATAATTCGTGAAAATACCCACCGTTCCCAGTACTGTTAATCCTCCATATAGCCCGGAATCAGCTACATCCGTTCACTAAACACAGAGCAAACTTGCAAAGACCCAGCTCTGCTGAGACACGGCTCGACGACCTCAGCAGGCATATCTAACTCACATATCCTTTGACAATCACATCCAGTCACGTGACCGATCCGCCCCGTAGTGCTCTAACTCACGTGACCCCAGCAGGCATATCTAACTCACATATCCTTTGACAATCACATCCAGTCACGTGACCGATCCGCCCCGTAGTGCTCTAACTCACGTGACCCCAGCAGGCATATCTAACTCACATATCCTCTGACAATCGCATCCAGTCACGTGACCGATCCCCCCGCAGTGCTCTAACTCACGTGACCCCAGCAGGCGGCGGCGTGGATGGGTTGCCAGTCGTCCTTGTCGCAGGGACCGACAGCCACGTGATTATCCAGCAGGTACTTGACCACCGACAGGTAGCCGTTGGCTGCCGCCACGTGAAGCTGAGGGAGACAAGGAGGTGACAGACGTCAGATGACGGCGGTCAGGGGTGACAGGTAAGATGACAGCGGCCAGAGAGCAGTAGGTACACACGGGGTCACGGAGGTCAGATGACAGCAGTCAGCGTCTATTACACACAAGGTGACAGCGGTCGGAATATATTACAATTGGGATGACAGAAATCATAAGTAAGGAAACAAATGACAGGAGTTAAGAAATAAATGGCATGGGTCTTAGTTATGACGGCAGTCGGGCAACGATAACACTCGTAGAATAACTATGGCAGTTGGAAGAAGATAGTCAAAATACAGGACATTTTCAATACACAGTGCGTTGCTGGTCCCTACAATCTAGAGCAGAGTCGATAAAAGACGGGAGCACTTCGGCGTGGCAGGCGCATGACACGGCCCATTTCCCAGAGTAAGAAATACGGCCATGATCAGATCTGACTGTTCCCGATGGCTTTCGGTCCACCACACAATGCGTCATCGTGCGTTAGTGGACGCTACTGGAGACAGTAAATTCTGATCGAGCGCCAAGATGGAAATCGGATGGTTCGGGAATCACCACCATCCGCTTTATCTGCTGTCTCTGCATGGAGTAGACAGAAATATCAACTATCAACTACGCGACAGCGGCGCCTACGCCGCAACCTCCCCCCTCTCTCTCAATTCCTCCCTCCCTCCCCCTCCCTCTCTCCCTCCCTCCCTTCCCCCTCTCTCTCTCTCTCCACCCCGCTCTACCCCTAAACCACACTCTGCTCTCTGCACCGTCCGCGATACCCGTCCCTACCGACGTCCATCAGTGTCGCACGCGGTCGGACAGGGGCCGGCCATTTCCGGCGGGTCGCCCGGGGACCGCGCGGCCGGCCGGTGTTACACCTCGGGCCGCCAGCGGTCATTAGCTAGGTGACACGTCCAGACAGATGGACATGGTCGACCGCAGATGGAGGAGAGGGAGGATAGAGGGAGAAGAGAGAGAGAGAGAGGAGAGAGAGAGAGAGAGAGAGAGAGAGAGAGAGAGAGAGAGAGAGAGAGAGAGAGAGAGAGAGAGAAGGAAGAGAAGAGAGGGAGCAAAGCAAAGATGGAAGTAGGCTGGAGTAGAGGAGCGGCCGGGCGAAGGTGGTTGACGGTCGGTTTGACGGCTGGTTGACCATGCATCGCTGTGTAAAGATGGCTGATGTTTGGATGGCTGTGTGTCGGGTTGGTTGACTAAATAGCTGATAGGCTAGTTGTCCATGAGATTACAAATGACGAGTTGAATGGTTGTCACAGCGACAGATTTAACTCGAAGCCGCTCGCCGACGGAGATTGAAGTAGTCCACACCACCTGCGGTTTTCTGGAAACCACAATCACCTCGACCCAGACATTGGTCCCCAGTCCATCTCAACCACCACCCCGCCTGCCCCCCCGCCAGTGA